TTTGTTCATACAAATTATCCATGTGGACTATGCGTGTTTTTTTTTTTTTTGCTAGAATAAAGTTAGACAACTTACCGGTAGGCCGACTTTCGTATTTGGGATCAACTTTGGTTTTTGCACACCACTCATGGAAATAAGATTTTATATCCGTCATCTTTAATTTATTTAATTAGATGCTGCTAATTTTCACTAATTTACAATTGTTTTAATACTTTTTGTATGTGCTACAACTTTATTTCACAATTTACGGCGGAAAAATATTTTTGTATGTATAACAAAGAAAAAACGCTGTCAGAAATTAATGGAAAATGTCTAGGATGCCACACATAGCCCTGCGCCGACAAATATTAAAGGCGGCGACGACTGACACTATATATGTCGGCGGCGGCTTAAAATCGACTGTAAGCCGGCTAAGTTTTCAACTACGTTTAGTTTTTAAATTTTCAACGATTTTAAATAAAAACGGAATCCGAGAGATCAGAAAGTGGAATTTTGGAAGCAAATATATTGTTTATAACAACAAAACAGAGCAAGCACAAAAGTTGTGTGAGAAATTATGCAGGGATGGATAAAAAATTCTTAAAAATTAAAAACAAATCCTTTCTCCAAGTTTTACGAGGATCGGCCTATATTTGACCTATCCTCCATATAAAACATCTTGCAGAAAATCAGTTTCTAAAAAATTTTGCATTAAGAAAATGATCAATAACGTAAAAAGAAAGATAATTTATTTATTTATTTATTTATTAGTTGTCTTAAATTTATAACTAATAATTTAAGATAACTTAAATTTAGCTATGACTACTGCGGTCTTAAGCTAAGATTGGCTTATACAGATAATATTGAAGTTATACAGATATTAATATGAATATACATTTTGATACATTATTAAATGTCTTTGAATATGTTAATAATTTTCAAGAATTTTATAATTGTAATTATGTTTTCAATTGATGGATTAGAGAGATATTTTATTGGATCATCATTATTATTGGATTATTGCGGGTTCTTTCGAATTTAATACAATTTTTTATTATATGTTCGATTGATACTGGATTGATTTGACAATATGGGCAAACGTTTGAAATGTCGAGTTGTATTATGTGTTTATATTTATATTTTCGATATATTTAATAGCCTCAAAAATTGCTATTTTTTTTGTAGAATAACAAGGTAGAATGGAATTTTTTATGATGGAATCAGAAGTAGTAACACTGTAAGATACGTTGCCGTTATCTTTGGAGCCGTCTGTAAAAATAAGTCTTTTCTTTAATATTTAGACAAGGCTGTCTGTATGCTATGTCAGGTGTAGAAGATTTCGGATATTGGGATAAAGTTACATTAATGGAATCCATAGATAGATGCCATGGTGGTTGGGTATTGATTTTGGTTAACTTTAGTGACATAAATGGTAGGTTATTTTGTCTGGCAAAATTAAAAATGCGACTGAGTGTTGATTGGATCCTATTACAGTTTGGTTTCAATGAAATTTTGATTAGGAATGGGGAAACATTAGATAAATTTTTGTCACTGTTGTCATCATAATAGTGAGATAGATTGATTGTCACTTTTTTAGAAAAATCATAATCGAGACCGTAATTAGTCGGATTTGGTTTTTGTTTCGCGACGTCTGGTCAAAGTAAATTAATATTATTATTACTTTGGGTCTGGTGGTTTATTTATTTTAATATTTTGTTATTTATTTTTAATTTTTATTTTGAAAAGTCTATATATGTAATTTTATTTTGCAATTATTTTAATTATTGAATTTGTTTAATTTTTCTTTGGTATTATTTTAAATACCGTTATTTGTTGTATTTGTTTTGAAGTAGTTATTGTTAAGAGATAATTTCAAGAGATGTTGCTTACTTAAAGTAACAAGTGAGAATGACGAATATTTAATAACATGATTATTTGAAAACAAATTAGATTACTACAAAAATTAATTTTATATGTTTAAAATCAATAAACATATTCGAGTATATTTGTATATGTTCAAAATTGTAATATTATAATATAAAACATATTATTTATCTTTTATAAATTCTTCACTAAAATCAATATATTTTGTTTGACCACCCTTAACCACTATGGAGCCATCTGATTTCTTTTTAAGAACACAATCAATAAAAGCCATCTTTTTACCAACTTTTACTGTATTCGCATCAACAATTATAACCTCTCCTTCTTTGGCACTTTTTAAATAACTGACATGTAGATCGACTGAAACTCCAGGATGTGCATCGGCTGACATTAATGCATATGTTGTTACATTATCAATAATTGCAGCTGCACATCCGCCATGTAAAGTTCCGAAACCATTTACGTGTTCTTTTGAAACAGTAAATTCTCCAATGCAACGACCATCACCACCACCAGTTACACGAAACTGTTATAAAGTGTATAATTAAGATTTATTGTATGTTATTAATGGTTCTATAATTTTTAAATCATAAGCTTTTAAAACGAACTATATAGTAAACTTTTAGGAAAACTATAAATATTCAAATTTTACATTACAAGAATTAAATTAAGATTCAAATTTACAAGTTTTAGTCAGAAATAACAAAATGTATTAAAATTTTAAATATATCGAGAGACTATATTCAATAGTCTCTATTTTTAATTTACATGAAAATAAGATTTTTATGGCAAAATATCCAGCAAACTATCCCGAATCAGTGACTTAAATTTCAAAGAAAAAAAAATATTTTTCGCAATTTTTAAATTTCTCTATCTGTAATTTACATGAAAATAAGATTTTTATGGCAAAATATTCAGCAAACTATCCCACATCAGTGACATGCTGAATACAAATCCGCCAAAATATTGAAAATCGGTTTAATAGCTTTCGAGATATCGCTTATTATGATACGAATTTGATTAATTTGATTGCTGTGTTTAACCATATAACATTGATTTTGATCCAAAACCTTATAATCTGTTGCTTTTTCAACAATTCGGTTTCTATTACTTCATTAAATTTCATAAAATATAATATTTATTGATATTAAGGGCCAATCTTTAGGTGAAAGATTAGCGATTAAATTATAATTAATCCTCGAAAGATGTTTTTGAGTACTCAATTAGTTAATTTTGTTTGCAAGTTTAAGCGCCCAATGGAGGTGGTTTATTCTTAAGCACGAAATGCAAAAGTGTAAACAGCTGATGCAAAAAAATTAATAACATTTTTATAAATATAAACATTAAAATGTTCTATTTATTGATTAGTATAAATTATGGACACTTCAAAATACATTTTTTTGTTTTTAATTTAAGTTATCATTAATTTTCATATTAAATTTACAATTGTCTTCTTCTTTTTTATAAAATATGCATTGTTTTGATAACAAACAGTGAAATTTTCTGTTGTTTTGTATGGCAATACTGCGAAGTTTAATCTTGTACCTAAAATCATCAAAGGGCATTAACATAAGATTAAATTTATTTTTAGATTAACTAATCTGATTATTAATTGGCATTTGATTACCATCTCAAAAACCCGCTCTAAATCATATAAAAAATGTATATTTCTATAAAAAACTCTCTATCTGAAGGCTGGAAAAAAATTTCGTAGAAAAAAAGCTCTATCTGATATAAATTTGTGCAAATAATGCAAAATTTTAAATTCTTGATCGTTAAAATATATTGTAGAAGAAAAAATTCAAAAATTTTCACAAACTAGCGAAATAAACATTTTTTGCTCTCCTGAAAACTTGTATTAGTTTAGATATAGACTATTGAATGTAGTCCCTCGATATATACTATTTACTGTAAAACCTGGGAAATCAATTTAAACACGAATTATCACTTTAAGAGCGGGTTTTTGAGTTGGCAATCAAATGCCAATTAATAGTCAGATTAGTTAATCTAAAAATAAATTTAATCTGATGTTAATCCCCTTTGATGTTTTTGAGTACAAGATTAAACTTCGCAGTTTTGCGATGCAACAGGAAACGTCACTGTTTGTTATCAAAACTATACATGTTTTATAAAAAAGAAGAAGACAATTGTAAATTTGATATAAAATTAATGAAAACTTAAATTTAAAACAAAAAATTTATTTTGAAGTCTCCATAATTTATACTAATGAATAAATAGAACATTTTAATGTTTATATTTATAAAAATTGTATTCATTTTTTTATATCAGTATTTTTTTGCATTTCATGCTTAAGTTTAAACCACTTCCATTGGGCGCTTAAACTTGCAAACAAAATTAACTAATTGAGTACTCAAAAACAACTTTCGACGATTCATTTTAATCGCTAATCTTTCACCTGAAGATTAGCCCTAATTGGAATTATTAAGAAGCACCAATCAAAAAGCATAAAATCGGCTAAATCCCTTCAACAAATCTAGTAATACCGCTTAAAAAATAAACACATTTCTCCAGATTGTTACAGCTGATTTGTTTTTCTCTTACGTCAGTTTATTAAATAATTATGAATGAAAACCACAAAAACTATAAAATATTCTTTAATATTTATTTTTAAAACTTACAGCTTTTGTCACAGAATCAAAACCACCATTCTTAACGCAATAATCAGCTACAGTTTTTAAAAAATCAACACCACGTTTAGCTGACATTTTGGTCAGAACTCCCGAAATGTTTTTTACACTACGGCTGAGATTTAATTACTGAAATATATATATTTTTAAAGGGTAAGTTCAAAGTCTAATAATAGTCTAAAATTTAATCTATATGCAGCATGATTTTTCATTTATTTAATAGATAAAATAATTAAAGGTAATCTTTCATTATTTGTTTTTATTTTTACTTTCGCATTAAGTTTGTGGTTTTTACAAAAAAGTAGAAGAGTAACATAAAATAGAATTTTGCAAACACAGTTGTATAAAAAAGTAGTAAATTCACCTAATGGCTGTGGATTTAATAACGTATTTTCTACTTCCTGTCACTTTTTTAAAGTTAAAATTGCGAATGTAACATTTTCTTTAAATTAAAAAAAAAAAATACAAGTAAATAAAATGTTATACTTTTATACCATGATTTAATAACAAAGATTTATTGAAATTAAAAAACATATAAATATATAAAAAACATGTCAATTAACACATTAAAAACATGTATAAACTTATTAAAAACACAACATCAATTGAAACATCCAAATATTTATATATATTTCATAAAATATATGTATGAAACTTAAAATCGATGCAGCTTTTTAAATTCCTCATTATTAAAATCAACATATTTCGTTTGACTGCCCCTAACCACAATGGAGTCATCTGATTTCTTTTTAAGTACACAGTCAATAAATGCCATGTTTTTACCAATTTTTACAGTTTTCGCATCGAATACTATTACTTCTCCTTCTTTAGCACTTTTTAAATAACTAACACTTAGATCAACAGAAACTCCAGGATGTGAATCGGCTGACATTAATGCATATGTAGACATATTATCGATAATTGTAGCTGCATAGCCGCCATGTAACGTTCCGAAACCATTTAAGTGTTCTTTGGAAATAGTAAATTCACCAATACAACGACCTTTACCACCACCTGTTATACGACACTGAAAAAAATATTAGGTACATATATACAGAATTAATGGAATGAAAACAGTATTTGGAGGTATTTCTAGGATAAATTAATTTTGAATAGAAGTTTAAAGTACTTTTTACCAGACTTCCGATTAGTCTAATGACTTTATTGATTAGCCTAATGACTAATCTGTAGGCTATTGCAACGGAACAGTTAATTTTGAAATTTTTGATTTATTAAAAATATTCAAACACTTAGCAAAAAGGTCAAAAAATTTTTTTGGCGTCAGAGCGAAAAAGTAAAATATAATTTTTATTTAATTTTAGCCAAATTGGCTGTACATATTTTTAGAAGAAAACCTTTCCCGGAAGTAACGCTTTTCGCTATTACAGTCAAACCCATTTATAACGAATTCTCGGTTATTACCAACTATTTTTCAAATCCCGGAATTTTAGTAACTATTTTTATACAAATAAAATCTCTCATGACAAACTCGGTTATAACGAATCCTCAGATAAAGCTATCTTCGTTTTCAGTCCCTTAAGTACAATGTTTTTTTTTGTGAAGAATATGAAATACATTTTACGAACTTCGCTTATAAGACACATAAGGACTGGTCCCCCGGAGATCGTTATAAACGGGTTTGACTGTACTTTTATTTTCCTTTGTATTTTGTGTTCACGGTCACTGATTCAAACTATTAAAAGCACCAATAAATAAATGTTTTAAAAAATCTGGCCATGCTGCATAAAATATAAACACATTTGTCCAAACTGTTACAGCTGATTGATTGTTTGTTTTTCTTCTTTTCGTTATTGTACGTCAAATTATTACACGGTTTTAAATTGTGAATTAAAAACAATTAAAAAAGGAAATATTTTACAATATTTGCAATTAAACTTACTGCCTTTAATACAGTATCAAAGCCACCGAGCTTAACGCAATAGTTTGCTAAATTTTTCAAGAAATCAACACCACTTTTTGAGGACATACTGGCACGTACTTTTGAAATGTTTTGTATACTGCCACAGATATTTAAATACTGAAACATATTTTAAAAAGGGTACGTTCAAATTCTATTAGCTAAAATTTTAATTGATATGCTATATGATTTTATCATTTATTTAAAAATAAGAGAACTATTTTAAGGTAATTGTTCATTATTTGTTTTTATTTTTAATTTCGCATCCGTGTTGGTGTTTTTTTATAAAACAACAGAGAAAAGCAAAAGAAAAGAGAATTTAGGAAAACTTGGTTGTCTCGAAAAGAAGTAAATTGAAAAGCAACTATGAATTTGACACAGTTATCGACCTCTGAATTTAAATTGGATTCCGTTGGAGATTTCTGTTTAAATTCTTATCTTAATTGTATGGTGTTGATTGCTAATTCAAATATTACTATTTTGGAATTAATGAATAGTTGCGATACTATGGTCTTGATGCCTTATAGCAATAAACAAATTGCCATATCCCAGGATAAGCCTATTAGTGGCCTCATAAGAGATGTTGATCTGGTCCAAATATATGAAACAGGAAATATTCTGGAGGCTCAAGAATTGGCTTTGGATATTATATATACCGCTGAATGTGCCACAGAACCACTAAAACCAAGGGTACTACAAGCTGATATTTTAAATAAATGTAATGAAAATATCTGTTGTATTTTGACAACATATGGTCATTGTGAGATATATAAAAAAGTACCCATCACTGAAGAATGGAAACCATTAGACACTAACTTATCCCAAGTTTTAATAACTGAAGTATTTCCCTCCAAAGAATTACCATTTCATATAAAAAGTTACAATGATCTGAAGAAGTTTACAAATAAATATATAATTACTTGTTTTGCCATGACTCTACAATTATCCGATATGATTATCTATTTAGGCACAGCTGCTGGTCATGTTGTTGCCCTTAAATTTAATGAGTTATTATGCAAGTTTGAGGAAATTTGTCATTTAAAAACTTCCTTAAATCGTCTAAATTATATTGCCAACTATAACAATCTCTTGTTGGTCGGTTGTGATCAAGGCACTGTTCGTTTAGTTAAATTGAATGAAGAAAATAGTTCTTTACAAGAATTGGACTATTTGTGGAGTAAAACAGATCGCATGTCGTGTCGCAAAGCAGTATTTACATATAACGTAAGTTCAAAAACCTATTTGGTGGTATTTTGTAAGGCGGCTCATGTATTGGCTTATTGTTTAGATCTGGAAGGTGCAATTTTATCAAGTTCAATTTTATATGTAAGCGGTATTAAAATAACGGGTAAGAATATATAGAAATTTATTAAGCATTTTGATATTAAACTATTACATCATATAGCCATTGAAACGATTAGTGAAAATGAATTTATGTTAACCACCATTACGGGAGCAGTAAAATACGTTAAGATTCTATGCCCCAACAAAGAAGAGCTTAATATTGAAGAATCAATTATAGAACACGAGTTCGATTCAGCGAATTATCAAATACTGGGAGTAGGAGCCTCAGCATCGAAAAATCTATGGTCCTTTGTACTTTATCGCAATAAAGATTATGTCCACCAATCGAAGTACACCAACTCAAGTGGATTTCTAAATGTTTGCAAATTAAGCACTCAAGACAGTTTTATTAAATTAATTAATATGAATTTACCAAATATGAATATAGTACAAGATTTAGTTATGGCAATTAATTTGGATATATTCAATAATTTTGAAGTGGATAAATATATGACTTATTTGGACTTGGAAAAATTATGTTTTCCACTTCAATTGAATGAAGCATTTTTACAAAAACTACAAATAAAATTAATCATTGTACGCAAATTGGCCAACTTTCAAAAGTAGGTATTTAATTGATCAGTTTTATTAAATTTTAATCATTTTTATTTATTTTATTAGAATGAAATATCGAAAAATCAAATGTCAAACTTATATTGATCTACAAATCCTGGAACCTGCCTTACAACTGCTGCATATTGTTTATCGTTTGCGCTACTTAAAACAATTAACATTTAAAGAAATTAAACTTACACAGTTCCAAGAACAATCTATTGTTTGTATGCAGTTGAAATTTGGTCATTTAATTAATACTTTTAAGGCAATCACTGCTAGTGCGGAGGAAGAGATTAAGCCACAGAAGACTGTTGAGAAATTTTCATTATTTATTGTAAATGAATTTGAAAATTATAAATTTAATGTTGAACATTTGGCGAAATTTGTGGAATATTGTACGTTGTGCAATCAGTCAATTATAGATTTCGTTAAATGTGAACAGGAGCACGAAGTTAAGAGATGTAGCATTTCTTGTACGCAGGTATGTTAATAATTTTTTTACTTTTAATTTTCCAAAAAAAATCGTTATGTTTGATATTCAAAATAATTCTGTGGTAAAAGAATGTTTTGTTAAGTATTTTAATAAAAATTATTCAATGCATATTTTAAATTTAATAAAATTTTTCTAATATTGAAAATTTTTCGATATTTAACATTTTTTGATAATATACTATGTTGAAGGGTATATAAGATTTGGTACATTTAAGCGAATTTCGAACTGTTACTTGTTAGCAATATTTTTATAAAATTTTTATTTAATATCTTCTTATTTCTTTTTTACATTTAACTTCAGCTTACTCTATTCAAAACCAAATACTGTCCACACTGTTTCGCTCTGGCTAGAAATGATGATGAAGCTAAACTACAGGAATTATTTTCAAAAGATGAGTGTATTCGGTGCATATACTGTAGATTTTTATTGAAACAAGATAATTTTTAATTTTAAGAATAAAAAGAGATATAAAAAATACAAATTGCGTGTAAAAAAACGAAATTCTTTAATATTCCGATACATAAATTTCAGGATTCTGTTCCATTAAATAAATATCCTGTTCCAGCTGACGTAAATCATTTTCAATTTTACTTTTATGAAGTTTTTTCGCAACAGTATCGGTATACAAAGATAAACTCTGATAGGTTTTAAATAACTCCGTAAAATTTGTTTTAAGACCCTAAAAGAAAAATATTTAGAGTTAAATATAAAACATAAATAAAAAACCTTTATTAACCTTTAATATCTCCTGACGTTCATCGTGTGTTAGTTTCTTAACACCCGAATATCTATCTGCTCTTAGACAGGCATTTTCCGCTTCCAAACGTGCATTTTCACATTGAGCATTTAATTTGCTTAAGAATTTTTTGCGAGCATTTAGATAACATGGCACTTTGGCGAAATTTTTCGAACAGATATATTGTGGCACCAGACCGGTATTTAAGAGATTGTGTCTATCACCTTTGGGGGTATCAACATAACGTGGCGGTGGCTTTTTAGCTTTTAAATTCTTGATCAAATCCACATTAATGGCCACAAAATTAGCACGATGCTCATGACCCTTAAAATATCTTGTATGGGGGCAAAGTAAATCTTCCTTTTCTTTTTTAAACGACTCCTTTTTGTTATCCTTTGCTGTAATATTACTCGTAGGGCGTGCAAATTGTGGTACTGGTGGTATTTCTATTTTAGGCGGACAAACATGTTCGTTTAATCTTTGCCACTTAACACCACTATTTTTCTTTAGAAAATTACATGGTAATTCCACGGGAGTTTGGGCATAACCCATGGTTTGATGATTATTTTTAACAGCACTTGTTAGCAATTTCTTCCTATCGGGCAGTTCCACAATATGTCTGGCTTGTTTTTCCTCCTTAACCATTTGCCGATATTTTGAAGTGTATTTAAGTTTTTCACGCCTTGTAAAGTAATCTCTCTCTTTGTCCACATCAAATATATTTTCATCGTGATATGTTATATAGACCAAAGACATTTTTATGTTTTAAATTAATTCAATTTTACAAATTTTATAATGTTAGAGTTTAATGAGGTGTTTGCGGAAATAAGTATTTCTATTCAGGCTAATATTTGTCTTATTTTATTGTTTATTTTATGTTGTCAAGTTTTCAAAATGATTATTATTTAAATAAATAACAGGGGTAACCATGGTTTTAGGTCAAGTTTTATGGAAGATAATCGATTAAATTTTAATTAAACTTTGACTTCTGTTTTTTTTTAACTTCAAATTAAAGTTTAAATAAAATGTCAAATGAGATGGACTTAAATATCTAACAGTTCCGACCCCTATACTCTTCCTGACAAAAAATTCACAGTTATGATATTAAGTGAACCACACTTAAGTTATTGAAAAACTCGAAATCTACGGGACACTCTAATGTACCTAGGAATATCAAAGGGGATGAACTGGCAAAAACTGCTTCCCGCCTTCACAAAAGGGATTCACTACAAATCTCTTATCCAGCATAAACTCTGGGCAGAACAAATGGTAATCACTAATCTTCTGCTCGACATCAAGAATAACGTGGCCTCTTTATAATGAGAAAAGGTCTAGGAGGAGACTACGTATGTATATGTATTGGTGTTATTATGAGTGCATATGGTTAGGTTATCAAAGGTAGATAGGGATAGTGGAAAGAGAGAATAAGAGTACAGAGGTGAAAAATGAGAAGTGAGGAAAATGACAAAGAGAAGAACCCGACATAATTGCCATTGCTTAGTGAGAATTTGAAGTTCACACCCTTTCTGTCAAATTTAGGAACGCCATAAGACGTTCCAATTGAGTATTCGATAGTTTGCCAAAATAGGCCGTCCGAATTCGAGTCGCTGCAAGGCAGAACAGTTACAGAAGATATGCAGTCTCCTCTTCATCCTCATTTTGACAACTCCTACAGAAGACATTGAACGGTAAACGTCTAGCGTGGTTACCAAACTTGCAGTGGCCAGTAACAATCGATCAAAATCGACCGATGCCCACGCGTCCATCGGTCATAAGCAATAAAGTAGCAGTTGTCAATAATCTGTCTGTGGAACACCATAGAACTGTTCCAGTTCGCTTAGCGAGATTTCTCTTGCCAAGGTGTCAGCAATACTGTTGCCATACGTACTCTAATACAAATTAGGAGAGACATCCGGCATTCATGGACAAGTCTAGATGTGGAAAACACGCCAATTAGGGATTTAATAGCAGTTGAACTATCGATATAAATTCTGATATCTTTATTAGATATCCGACAGTATGTCAGCCAATTCAACGCCCTTTTTATCGCTGATATTTCAGCTTGAAGGATACTGCAGTCATCTTCGAGTCGGAAAGAGATTTTAATACCAAATTCCTCAATGAAGATAGGTACAGATGCTAGAAGTCTGAAGTCTGATACATATAATGATTACTGCAGGAGCTTTCACAACGATGACGTGGAGGAACCTGTTGAAAACTTTCTCTGTATATGCCCCTTTTTGACGAACATTAGCATTGAGTATCTGGGCAGTTCAATACTACATGAAGAAGAGGCTTCCCCTTATATAGATACATATAATATAGAGTCGTATGTATATTCGTGCTTATGGTTAGTTTGATTCCATATGTTAAACACGAACATGTAATATCCTAAAAGTGAGTTTGGGTATTATCAGTAAGACTACGGGACCATCATGTATACTCAAGTGATCGGTCACTGGATAGTTGCTCATATGTATGGACCAGTTGAATACACCATTTCGCGAAATGGTTTATCACACCTTTTCAAACCGACTGAAAAAATCCGAAAACCGGATTATTTCCTTTTTGAATCTATAACTGAAATAAATAAAATTGATTTTTTTTAAACTTTTCTGAAATAACTGCTTTATTATTTGAAAAATCTTAATAAATATAAAAAGCTTATTGAATTTTATTATTTTTAAATGCGCTCTATTAGCAATAATATGTATAATTCTTATGATTCTTTTAATTTATATAATAATTTTTTCTAAGTTTAATTGTTTGTTTTAATGTATTTTTTTTATTTTGAATATAAATACAAAACTAGATTTCCTAATGGAGTTGTATTCAATATAATGTACATAACTTTTTGGACATCAATTAAAGATGATGTTCTTTATAGAGACAAAACTATTCGCATTATTAACTCCTGTTTAAAAAAACTTGTTAGATTTACCATCGTTATGTTCTAAAATAACTAATAAATATTATTGTTTGCAAAATATGTATGTCTTTATTTTGATTGGTAAAAATAATCTTTTACTTGAGATTTATTATGATCGTTTTTGTTTATATATTAGCTTTGTAGCTTTAGAAGTCAAAATTTTTTTTATAGGAAATCTTTCTTCATTTCATTTTTATTTATTTTAGGCACACAATTCAAATTGATAACGTATTTATTTTATTTCTTCATTACTTAGGTCTTATATTTATTTTTAATAATATATTATTTTTTTTTTGCAAAAGGGCTTCTTAAGTTAATTAATGTTTAACGACAATTTTATATTTAACATTTATTATAAATATAAAAAATATTTGTAAATGTTTAAGCCTTTGCTACAATTTGTTTTGTAAAGTAGTCAAATCTATTGTCTATTGTTTATAAAAAGCTGCTGATTAAAGTGTTCGATTTAAGACGTGATTTTCGATTATGTTTTTTAGAATTGATTTGTATTTTATTAAAAATATGTATGTATATGTATATGACAAACAATGTAAATATTGCACTTTGGTTACAAGCGGTCTCGATTAACAAAAAAAGTTAAATTGAAAATTAACCTAAAACCATTTAAATTTCTTTTCATGATACATGTTACAGTTTTACCATAAATTTCAAAATTTGCGCATAAAACTTGTTTTCAATTTTATCTGGGACTGCACCTTTACCACAAGTAACAATTATTAAATACTAGCTATACCCAGTGTGCTTTGCTACCCTAAAAGCAATATGTATAAATAAAAAGCCCACTTAACGATTTTGAAGATTTTAACTACAATAGTTTTCCAGATTTACAATATGTTACATATGAGAGATATCAAACAAATTATTGAAAGTTCGCCTGTTTTTATCTATCGCCAATTTCTATCTATCTATAAAAAATTTGAATAATATAAGAGTTTCCAAAATGCACGAAATTTTGTGTTTAATTCATGTATGTTGTGCCAAGCCACCCATTGAAAGTCCCCCGTTATGCTCTAAATGTGCACACGAATTTCAAAGTTCTCCATGTAAAATTTGAAGATTCTAGCTGTAATAGTTTCTCAGATATACGAATTTTTCTATTTGATTCATGTGGGGGCTTCAAGACCCCCAGATGAAAGTCCGCTTTTTTTCCTCCAAAATGTTCAGATGAATATTTAAGTTCTTCGTGCGAAATTTGAAGAATTTAGTTCCATTAGTTTTCCAGATAAACGAATTTTTGTCTTTAATTAATATGGGAGGTGCCGCTCCCCTCATGGGTAGTCCGCCAATTTATTATACAAAATGTTTAGATGGATGTTAAAGTTTTTCGTGCAAAATTTGAAGATTCTAACTGTAAGAGTTTCCAAGATAAACGTATTTTTTCCTAAATAATTATATTGACACTAAAGTTGCTCCGACAAAATTTGAGGACTCTAACTGTTATATTATCTAAAATATACGGATTTAATATTTTCTTAATATAGGCGTGGATCCTCGCCCACTTGGAATTTCAAAATAAAAAGTAGCCTATTACCTATTCCAGACATACAGGAATACGCTGTGAAAATTTGAATAAAATCGGTTCAGCCGTTTAGTAGTCTATAACGTTCAAATATACAAACATACAAACATACAAACATATAAACATATAAACATACAAACATACAAACAAACACACATTCATTTTTATATATATAGATTTTACTGAACTTTCAGAGGTTGTCTCGCTATATTTTTCTGCTGTTTATGAATTTGATTTTGCTGATTTTAAATAGAAAACTCCTCGAACGCATGTCTGATGACAGACAGACGGACATGGCTTAATAGAGTCCTATATTTATGTATATTAATCCAGAATATTTATTGCTTTTTTATGTGATCGGATATTATATGTAAGACAATGAAAGGATTGAAGATTTAAGATTGAGTATAGTGGACAGTATAAGAGAAGAAGGCGAGAAAGATTATGTGTCCATGAGGACTAAAAATGCCAATTCTTAACGATCGAGACTCACACTAGATATCTTTTATATATAGTCAAATAGTCACTTTTTTAAGAATTCAAAGCAAATGTCTTCTAAAGCAGGACAATGACAAAGGTGTTTATAACATTCTTCCTCCTCTTTATCTTGACAGCTTCTATGAAAGTCGTTATACAGTCGTATAAGTCAAGTCTTCTTGTGTGGTTCCCAAGCAAGCAATGATGAAAGTTGGCCTGTTGTGTCATTTTATTTGGAAAAGTTTATGGAACATTTTATCTAATCGTTGTTTGCATACTTTGCGGAATTCCACAAAAGATGTCTGTATCCATATCGGTATTTCGTATTTTGTTTAATTCATTAGCTACATCTAATTAGTCCAAAATTTCCCAAAATATTTGGATCTTATTTCCACGAAAGCCTTACAATAGTAAAGAAAGTGCTCCAGAGTTTTACTGTCCTCTCCTCTATATGCTCTACATTCGTCTAAATCCGCACATCCAACTTTTTATAGTTGTGCGCGTAATCCCATGTGTCCACTCAGAATATGAGCCATCATATTAACCTCAGATTTGCTCATTTTGTGGAGTCTTTAGGGTGCTGCTCTCGTTAGGATCTCCCCATAACTTCTTTTATGGGGACTCCACTCATTTTGTGGAGTCTTTAGGGTGCTGCTCTCGTTAGGATCTCCCCATAACTTTTTTTCTTTTCATTACTCCCAGAAGCCTTATATTTAAATTCAGCACTCGTTGCTTCGAATGGTTTTACGTTCGGCAGATTAATCCATTCGAGCCCCCTTCCCTTTAAAGCTAATACTTTCGTCCTTTCCTACTGCCTATTGGACCGGTACCCATATGATGTAAACATTAACTTTGGGAGAATGTTAGGTTAAAGCTTTCTTACAATCCATTATTAGCTGATATCGCCCTAAGTGCCTTCTGGTAATTATGATAACCCCTGTTAGCGCCATATTAATTCTAATCCAATTTATGCATTTCGTTATTGATCGACCTGGAAGCTAATGTTGTGATAAGGTATATAACATACTTTTGGAAATAAATGAAAAAGGATATTGATTTATAAAAAAAGAATACATATTTTTTGTTAAAATAACTACAAATAATTTTGATTTTATTTAGAACAGTTCTCAAATGTCAGTTACTTAAATTTTTTCTTAATTATAAATTAATTTAATCGGTATAAAGTGCAGCAATATTTTTCTTTGTAAAAATATATTTAATAAAATTAAAATTAAAAAAAAATGCAAAGCTTGATTTAAATACTTTGCTTTTTATTTTGATACAAAAATTTTAGTTTTTTCATTTAATATTAAAATTGAAAAGATATTTGTCATGACAAATAAACAAATATTACTATTGTTCTTAATTATTTTAAGATTTTGTTATTATTTTTTGCTTATTATCAGCACTGTGCGTTATTTTGAATGTTTAATGAACATATGAGAATACAAATTTTGAATGATTTGTTAAGATTTTCCATAAAATTAAAACCTAGAAATTTAATTTAATAAATTTAAATATTTTTCAAATTTAGCACATCCAAAACAAAAGTTTTTTTTAGTAAAAAAGCTAAAGCTTATAAAAAATATTATTAAATTACATACATAAAATAAATGCTTAAAAGCACACAATTACAAACTATTAAAACTAAATTATAACTAAATACAATGGAATCTCTTTTAACTATTAAACAAAACTAAACATATCGAAAGTATATAACGATATATGGGGCATGTAAAATAGTAATGCCAAGATATTTCTGATATATAATGATATTAGTTCTATTCTAACAAATTATTTATTAGCATTAACACCTTCATTTTCCTTTTTTCTTTCTTCACGTATTCGTTTAAAGGCCTCCGTTTTAACAAAGTCAACTGAATTATAAACTACTGTACTTTGTACTGGAGCCCGGGCTGAGGGATCAGCTGCTAAACCCAAACGTCCAACGCCAGGATTATTTAAATTACCCACACTCATACTTTGACGATTAATGGCCGGAGCATTTGCTACATCCAAATCGAAATATTGTAGTTTATGTTCGTTTTTAGGTGGTGGTTGTATTTGTGGGGGTATTGTGTTAGTTGTATTAGACAATTGTTGCATAGCTGCATTAGCTGAAGCGGTACGCTGATGCTGTATGCTAAATACTGTAGGCGGAGCATTTACAGCAGTTGGTGTATTACACAGTGAAGCATTTGATGTATTAAATGCATAATTAGGTCTGGGTTGTCGTGGTAATGTTCTAGTTTCCATTAGATATGAAGTGTTTGATGTTTCAGCATCGCTTGGTAGCACCATTGAGAGTGGAGCACCTGTGGTACGTCGTGTATTATTTCCCAAAGTATTTGAATTGCCAATCTGTAAAAACAAAACAAAGTTTTTTTTTTAATTTTATATAAAAAAAACATTTGGGAAAAAAGTCTCTTACCTTATAAGCATTCGGTTTATTTTTACGATCCACTGAAGGTGGTTTCAGTGGTATATTTTCACTACCAACCAGACCAGCTGGTGTTTGTATTTGTGTTGCATGCAAACGATTTGCCAAATTGTCCACTTGCTGCACGGCCAACTGTGGCGGTTTAGCTGGTAACTCCTCTGGTGGCTTGTCAGCTTCAATACTCAATTTAGGTTTCAATTTGCGATTGACTGGTGGCAAATTTGTTTGTTCGATGAAATCATAACGAAATACATTACCCTCAACCTTACTGGGTGCTGCATTTGTATAACAATGTGGTCTTGGTAATGTGCGCATATTTGTTGTTGATTGTGGACCTAAAGAATGAGCCACTGAAATCACGGACGATGGTGATCCTGGCACAGTATCTAGGCCCGCCATTAAATTGGGTGTAGAAGCTGCTATGGGATTGGCCTCTGGACTTGTTACTTTTTCCAGCAAATGTGCCATATTATAGTAGGGTAGTTGATGTGAACGTGGTATGTCATAGCTTTCTTCAACCACAGATCGGGCATCTCGTGGTCCTATTATAGCAGGTGATGTATTTTCCGTATCGGAAAATTGTGGCAAATCTCGGGTTAATCTAAAAGGAAAATAATTTATCAGTTTTAAAGTAGAAATGTTTATCATAACTGAGTAGTTACTAAAAACTTTTTATAATTATTTTTAAGTTTAGTAACATGAGTACCAAGGAGACACAATCTAGCAAATACTGAATTGTTTCTTATAAAAAACTGCTGCGATCTACGATCTAACAGATGCTAATTAACTAACTAACTTCTTCTTCGATGATTCAAAATATTCTCATAAACGTCACGCTTATGTAAATATACATGTTTCATATAATCATCATCACTTGAATCCCTACATGAACTAGTTCTTTCTGAAATACATACGTTCTCAAATAGTTTACTTACTTTTCATTGTCCTTAAAGTCCAAAATTAAATTGTTTTTATTTTTTAATACTTTAGCCAATTTCTCCAAACAATCATTGGAGTTTTGTGTTGTCATGCCTTGTTGCTCTTTTTTGACATCGTCAGGTAGTTTGGAAAAACGTTGTGAATATGTCAAAACAAAAGATTCATTTTCCACCGAACTATCGGAAGGTCTAGTATTACGATCTGTAAATAAAATAGACATGTTAGTTATCAAATCATGAATTCTTATAAAGAAACTTGTTGCTTCTAATATTTTTGCGTGTTAAATATTCCAGAAGAAAAGTGTAACCATTCGCTAGTTAAAGAATAGCAAGCGTAACAATTCTACATCGACTACTTTTGTAGATGATGTCAAAGTGTTTTTCGCATGTTTTAAGTAAATTTTACAAAATATATCTAATACACACCCATATTTTCTCTTAAGGGCATAGGATGTGCCCATTCGTCGTCATCGGTAAAAACACTTTCAGAATCTGAATCGGACTTTTGGCTACGATTTTTGAAACATTAATAGGTTGTTGCTAAAAAAATTAAAAAATTTTTATAAATCCCACAAAAAAAATAATTTTTTTTATGAAAAAAATTACCACCGTTCCACAATTTGTAATTTTGGGAGAGTACGATTGATCATTGGTTAAATTTAAACCAATATTATTATGAACTCTAGGTGTGTCATAAAACTTTGGATCCAAATTATTTAAAGGCGTTGAAGGATTTTCACTATCAAGCTGCAAAAAAAAAAAAATATAAAAATGTTAAATTATAAATACAAAAAACTAATATTTAAGCTCACCATAAATTTCGGACTACCCGAATAACATTCGCTAATGGGTATATAAGGTCCTGATGCTGTACTCAAAGCCGGTGAAGGTTGTACGCTATGCTGTTGAGATTCTGGTAGTGGTGTATTGTTTAAAACTAAATTTTCTGGTATCTTACGTACAACACCATTTGAACTGACTGATAAACGTGAAGTATCCTGAAATGCAGCCGTATTCAAGTACAAAGCTGCCGATGATGATGTATTCGGTGGTGCTGCTGTATGCTGAGCATTAGCAGCCATATTAACCAATTGTTGTTTTTCAAATTGTGCATCACACAATAGTGTTTCGCGATTAGTATACTCTGTATTAACATAGGCACTATCGTTACTATGCTGATATGATGTCGATGAAGTGGACGAAGAAGCGTTTGTTAGATTTGCACTTGTAGTGGCTGCTGTCAGAGGTTGTTGTTCTACAACATTTAAAGGCCTTCTAAGAATGTCATTGTTAAAACTCTGACGAGTATTACTTGCATTGGTACCACTTGAAGAATTAATGGTTGTGGTAGTGGTATCATTTGATGAATTGGTGTGTGTGGTAGCAGCATTGTTTTGGTTGCGATTTTCATCTGTTTTAAAAAAGAGTAATGTTACAATTTAGCACTTTTTGTCCATTGAAGTTTGTTTCTTTTATTTTTTACCTTGTGATTGTTTAGTATCATGCAAATGACACACCTGACATATACAATTAACCCAATCACGCATATCCGTTTCCGTATCCGCTGCCAAATAATATGTACGTTTTGGTGTTTTAATATCAAACATAAATTGAAATTTTTGTTTGCGATTTTCCAAACGCAAACCACAATCGACCTGTTCACATTGATCCAAATCGATGACACCTTTCAATTTGCGACACTTACGGTCGGCATAGTATTCAAGGCAAAACTGTTCGGGTATCTCGCCTTGTTTCAAAGTAAACCAACGTCTACGCCAACGCTACAAAGGAATTGAAAATAAAAACAATAATAAATAATATTTCGCAAGTTAGATCGCAATACAACACACCAACAAACACTTGTTACACATTATTATAAATATTATATTAATTATGATAAACTAAACAAAATTATTTGTATGTATTGTGTTCATATAATAAAAAAAAAAACAGCGTAAACAACAATGTTTTTAGAGTAGATAAAAAAGAAAACACAAAAAACAACGTATAAAATATAGGGTTTTATTTCAAATACATATGTCAGGAATATTATTTTTTGCGTGCTTAAAACAAATTTGGTTTCCCCTTCCATTTAATAAGGAAGATATTTCTAGGTAATGCTGCTATTTATAACATATTGGGAAAACCCAAATTTATTCAGTGATTATATACTGTTTTTTATCGAAATATACATATGTACTTATAAACATTCTTTTGAAATTCCAATATTTTTTATTTGGCTTTTGTCCATTCTTTTGGATTGTGTAAGTAAATTCTAATTAATTTATTAAAAAATATTTCATTTAATTCGCAAAAAAATGCTTTAAAAACATAAAGACAATTATTAATATGTAATGTTTTCTGTTAAACGTCATTAAATAGTCGAATGAATAAATAAATAACACTCTAATCATATAATTTTTTCTGATATGTTTTAGTTCATTTCTAGTTTAGTTCTAATTCTGTTCTAGTTCAGTTTTAGTTCATTTCTAGTTCAGTTCTAATTTAGTTCTAGTTCAGTTCTAGTTCTAGTTCAGTTCTAGTTCAGTTCTAGTAAAGTTCTAGTTCAGTTCTAGTTCAGTTCTAGTTCAGTTCTAGTTCAGTTCTAGTTCAGTTCTAGTTCAGTTCTAGTTCAGTTCTAGTTCAGTTCTAGTTCAGTTCTAGTTCAGTTCTAGTTCAGTTCTAGTTCAGTTCTAGTTCAGTTCTAGTTCAGTTCTAGTTCAGTTCTAGTTCAGTTCTAGTTCAGTTCTAGTTCAGTTCTAGTTCAGTTCTAGTTCAGTTCTAGTTCAGTTCTAGTTCATCTAAGGTACTTATTAACTAGATTTATGAACTAGATTTACTATATTGTCAAGCTTCCCTATGTGATATAACGGGGGATATAACGGCATTTACTGCATATCAGACCAACAATAGATACCTGGAAATATTATTGCGGAATCACGAAAACAAGATCTTCACTAACTGCAAAACATATCGATTGACAAAGCGATTAATTTACGATATGTTACAGGTTAGCAGCGAAACATAATAAGGCGAATAACTTGCTCACTAACCGCTTGTACATAAGTTTTTAAAATTTTTTTATTAACATATTTTATTGATCATAACATCACACTGCAAAATTTATTTAACTAGTAATGAAGTTAAATTTACCTTTAAAAAATTTCCAAACCAATATAATATGAAATTTAAAACATTTTAACAATTGATCACTTTAAAATATATCAAGTTCACTATAGAGTTAACACAGATGTACTAAATCATGTAATAGATTCTAAAGATAGAAGGAAATTTGTATTTTTTCTAATGCATTAAAAACTTTTAGAATTTGCTATAAATAAATAGACAAAATACGCACAATGTCATGTTTATGTTTTCTTCTTCTTTGAATTAGATGATTTACATTGTGTCTGATTTTATCACAACAATTAGTAAATTAGCAAACAAAGATCATAGAGTCTACATAATAAACTTTAACCCACTATAATTTAATAATGAAAACAAAAATCACGCTGTTAATATGCATAAATCGTTGATAAGTTATTGCAATAGGAAAGGCGTGCAAAAAATACTACTATGACTAATAACATTTTCCAAGAATGTAAATAAACTTTACATTGTTTGAATATGTCGTTGTTGTAATATTTTCTTAAGTTTTTTTTTATTACTTAATACAATATCGAATTTATTTAACAACAATAGTTGTTTTAACGTAATTAAATGTTTACGATAGACTAAACTTATAAATGAGTTGTTAGTTGTTTAAAATGCAATTTTATACTAAACAGAAATTCAAATTGAAAAATGTAAAAACATGCTATAGTGGGGATCGATCGGTAAGTTTGTGGTATGGTTAAACTGATATGCATATACATACATACATATAATACAAATAATATAGAAGACATTAAACAAACGTACTGCAAAACAATATACTACAGAAACACCATCCATCCACCACCGGCACCTCCACCACCACAACAACGTCATCATATCACTTATTGACATGATTGTCCGACCAACCAACCCATTTATATTTTTACTAGCCATATGCTTTGCGAATGTTGGTGGTAGCACGAGGTAAAACGTTTTTTTAATATATTTCCTTTATAGTTTTAAAACAAATTTTATGAATTAAATATTTTATAGCCAAGTTAAAAAATTATGTATTTGAATATTTATTTAATCGATCTTTGAAATCTTTATAGAAAATGTTCCTTTGTAAGTAAAGTCAAAAGTTTAATTGAAAAGGAATTTAATAAAATTGTAATGATGTGATTCGAAAATAAACGTTTTATAGTTATAGCAAACAATTAAAGCAAAGTTTATTATACAACAGATTTCAAAAGAATTGAATCATATAAGAAGAATATAAATGAGAGAGTCACTTGTTTCAATATCCATCTAGGACCCATCGTTTGAAAAGTAAACACCCATTAAACAGTCTATCGGATACAAGTAATGGCCCCTAGTTTGAAATTCCATCAGAGGTGTTTCCTCTGTAATCTGTAGTTTCATGATCGAGTAGACCCACTTCGTATAGAATTTTTGTATGATTGTAACATGAAGGTTTGACTAATTGAACAAATTGATATCCAAGGCCACTTGTGGAGCACTACTAATGCCATGAGAGCCACACTTATGAGCATTATTGAATATCTTTCGATAACTGTTACCCAATCCTTTGTGATCTTGGCTTTCTGCCAAAAATATAGCCACTATTACTGGATAGTCAAATCTTACTCATTATTTAGTCAATGACTAGTCAAAGATTGCAGTTTTTTAATTTTCTGCTTTCATACAAATTAAATTCATGTAGTTAGTATTCATATGGCGTCAGATGATTCTTTTCTTGAATAAATATTTGTAAAATACACTTTTTTTCTCTCCACAAAACAGTTCAAATTCAAATTGTTTTGGATTGTATACAAACAAAATAATGTACCACAATAACAGCCAGACGCCCACTTAAGATATTTGCAAAAGATAATCAACAATAACAATATAATATTCAAACAAATGTAGAAAATATATTTTCCTTATAAAAAATATAAAAATTAAGAAGAATTTATATGTAGTTTAGTAAAAATTTTCTTCAAAAAGAAAATATACTAAAATGTATATAAATACATGATGAATAAGTCGTATTAAATATGCTCTAATCATTATAATCTAGTATTGGTGTTATGGATAAGTATGACAAATTTATTATTTTGTGTCCCTATTATCATATAATCAGCATGATGTATTAATTGATGCATCAACAACAACACATGTGTTTATAACAACAAAATATCCTTAAACATTAAGCAAACAATAAAAGTAAATTAATTAAAATTAAATGGTTTAATCAATTAACAAGGTCGGATGGAACAGTTTTAGTTAATAGCTTGATATGTAGGTGTTTAAAAATTAAAGCCGTTTAAGCGGTTAGATATTAAAAAATAAACAACAGATTATATATATTTATATTAGCCTTTTAACTTTGCTAAATAAATCACTCTTCTTTATTTGTAATACGTTAAAAATTATCGGAATTTATAGCAATTAAATACATAATTATTCTAAAAGTTTATTGCAAATTAATTAGTTATTAATCTACTTTTTGGAAATGAATACAAAAAAAACTACTATTGTAAACGTAATCGTTAGTTAAATGAACAAAGAAATAATCGTATATATGTACATTATTTAAGCTAAAAAACAAACAAGGTGGGGTCATTATGTTAGAAAACCTCTAATACTAATCGCTCTTAATGATACTTGTGGTCGTGATAATCATTGTTTTCATAGTTATATTATTTACTCAAGCTCAAGTCCATATAAATACGTGTTTTGAAAGTATTCAAGTTATAACAGAAAGTAATGTTTACACATAATAAAAAAAAAAATGTCAAATGGAAGATAAATAAAATGGTCAAACACATAAGTAATGGAATGGAAAAATTTTCCAAGGTGCACAAGTAATATAATCTTTAATACACTTAAAACATGAAAATAGTTATATTTGTTTAAACGTAGTAGACTTGGCAACAATTACACTATTTTTTTTAAACCAGTAACCATTTAAAAATTTAATTATTTATCAAAATTATAATCTTAAATTCAAATAAATCATCCATTACTTATTTTGAATGGAATAAAATGAAAAAATATTCTACATATTAGAATAGGAAGTTGAAAAACCAGCAATGAAATTAATAAAAATGTCTTTCAAATCATGAATCTACAGTTTAGTAGATATAAATATGAATGAAATATTATTAAATATTTGCATTTATTTAACTGACTCATTATTAGCATTACTACTATTCATTCATAAATTAAAATAATTTACTTTAAGAGCACACCGAATGAATGAATACATGCTCAATTGAATGATAATTATTAATGTAATATTTTAATGCATATACAGGGTTGGCAGATAGCGACTTTTCTTCGAGGTTATCTAGTAAATCACAATTAACTAATTTTTTAATGAAAAGTTTGATAGGTTTATGAAAGGTATAAGTCCTGGACCAAGTCTATAAAGTAGATATTCTGAGTACTTATAAGAGTCATTTAGGCCAATGACTGTCTGTCCGTTAATCTGTCTGTATGTATTATAGTGAACACCTGCCTCTTGCCCCTATTTCACACCGGTGGTACTTTTACAAACACAGATTGAGCTAGAGACGACACTCTCCAAGCACTTTGTGTGTCTTGCACTCATATGTAGCTGACATTTTTTTTATTTAGTTAGGTTCATTTAAAAGCCCTTTGCTCTAGTACTCGAGCTGCCTAACCAAATTTAAGTCCCACAGATACTCCACTGTAGGTTATCGGTTTGTATTTTCCGAATCAGTTTTTAGAAGATTTCGAGTAACTATCATGCGATATCAGAATTTTTTAATAATTATGGATCGTCCATAATTGGTATAGGTATAAGATCTACTATCGTAAATACTGTTAAACGTTAACCATAACTAGACAAAATTTAATACGAATATGTATATCTTATATACAAATTAATCAGAAATTTGTTCGAATCGGTTCAAAAAGTCCAAATAACTTATGAATTTATAATTGATCTTAGCTCTTCTAAGTATAAAATGCTCTTCTGAAAATAACTTCACCCTAAAATAATTCAATTCATAATGATTTCGGGATAAAATTCGACACTAATTATATATAAATCATTCTGCGAATCATTTTTCTGGATCTTGAATTCAATCTGGAACTTTGAAGCAAGAATCGTACTTTTATTTTAAAGGATATTTTGAATTACTTAAGTAGACTAGAAGTCATTTTCCACCATAGTACTTATTCTCTGCCTGGAGAACATAAGGATCAAAAGTTACCATATAAAATACTAAATCTGATGCAAAATTGGATTACTTTATAAGAAATGCTTAGTATTTAAACAATACTATGGATCGTAAGATTTTAATTATCTTTTTATTAAATAAAAAAAAATCCATTTAATTTCAAAACAAATTCAAATTTCCACGCCTGACATAAATATCTAAATTCGCCCCATAATTTGCGATTATTATTTGTTATTCTATATACAGACAACAATAACAACAAAAAATCGAATAAGGTTCTTTAATTTGTCTGTTTCTATAAATTATATGAGTCAGTTTGTAGGTTTTAATTTTTAATTTTGTACTTAATTTTATTTTATTATTTCTGTTATTTATTTTTATTATTTCTCGTAATACTTTATCTATTTTGATAATTAAAGGAAAGAAATAAAAAGAATAAAGAAACGAAATTCATAAAGGAACTTGATACTTAGCAGCCACGCCATATACGCTTCGTGGGCGGTGATTTGATCAACCAGCCCTCATAGTAAATTCTTTGTTCATATCAATTTTAGTATGTTCTCCACAATTTTAAATCAATTTTGTCGTTTTTATGGGTTTTTATTTATAAAAATGGAGTATTCTTATTATATTATTAAAATATTTTCGCCTTTAATTCGTTAATCTCCACCCAAAAAATATACTTTTTGTCACGTCGTATTTCTTTCTTTTTTTATTGTATTCGTTGTTTTCGTGTCACAGGAAGTTGTAAACTTTTTATTTTCTTATTTATGCTAAATACTTGTAAATTATTACAGGTATTTCAAAACAGGAGCAAATTTACATAAATTTAAAAATATTATTTTATAATTTACAAATATTTTAAAATACAATTAAACAATAACACACAATAAGAACAATTTTTCAACAACAAAAGGGAAAAACACAAATTCTCGAACACACAAATGAAAAACAACTGAAGAAAACACAAAAAATATTAAACAGAGTTACCTAGTTTCTTTAAAATATGGTTACGCGGTTGTATAATTTAGGCATAAAAAGAGTACTTAAAATTACAGTTGAATCTCGATTAAACTATATATAGACATACTTGTATATATATCTCAAACATATCTATGTATAGCAATTGAAGGCTTTCTACAGGTCAGTGCACTAGGACTGTCCTTTCACAGGGCCTCAGATGATTTAAGCCTTGTGAGATCTGAGTTGCAATGACGGTTAAAGCAACGGTTGGTGCTGTGTATTTTGCGGAAACCATGTTGGTGACGAGCTGCTATTGGGTGACAGGCCAACTGGGGGAGATGAAGCGCCTTAAGAGTCTTCGCGACCGATGATAGAGGGCTATCGGTTGGAGATAGATCGACGCAAGACCACAACTTACTAACACCAAACTCAAGTTGCAGTTCTCCAAGCGATAGAGCCATCTCTTCCGCTCATTACCAACCTCCTGATTCCAAAGTTTGTTTTAGCGATAGTATTTGGTTAATTTAAGGATTTATAATATAAATATTATCTATTCAATTTTAATATTTTATATATCATTTGAAAGGACTTTTAAAAAAACTTTCAAACAATGTAAAACATAACACCATCCGTTACCCCATTGAGCGCCAAACTCAATTAATATTGAATATATTTTTTCACATTTTCAAAGTTATTTGATTTTTCAGAAAAAGTTTAGAATTAACAAATTATATAATAAATAGTTCTAAGTATTATGTATTATAATAACAATGGATAGAAAATAATACAAAATTTGTAGGATTCCTTTTCCTGATAAAATTTTACCAACAACTTACCATTTACAAAGACGACTGAAAGCCAATATTTTAAATTATCAATACATTATTTTTTAAACATGTAAAATATCAAAAAGCTGAAAATCGACTTAAAAAAAAAAAAAAATTAACGCGGCGACGGCTTTGAAATTTCTTCGGCGGCTAATCTTAGTCGGCTTTAAGCCAAACCGGCGCAGATCTCTGACCGGCATTGCCTGTTCTTCTTCAATTTCGCATAATTTTATTTTTTCTGCTAACAAACTACCACTTGAAGTGCACGCTAAATATAAAAAAGGAAGAATAAATACTAATTAAAAATACAAATATTAATTAAAAGTGTTAACTGTGTCAAAATAAATTAAAAGTATTCTTGTAAAACTCAAAAAAGCATACGTTCGGTATTAAAGAATTAAGTTTTTTCACTTGTGAAAAAAACTATTGTGTTAGTTGTGTATACTGTGTAATAAACATGGCGACACAAGTTACAAACAAATCAGGAACTGGCTGGCCACGCCGCAGTAGCCAAGGACAAATGGATAATGGTACACAGAAATTTAATCCCAACCAATCGTTGACGATAAATAGGACAATAAATCTGTAAGTGAAAAAACTTGAAAACGTTATTTTTTTTGTTTTTCTTACTCTGGCAAAAAAATGCATTTTTTGGGGCACTGCCACATTGAGCGCCTAAAGTTGCCAGTTTATTTTATGATTTTCTTACTATCGATAACATTAGTTTTTTATCGATTTTTAACGTAACATATATTGAAAAGTCGAATTTCTTTAAAAAAAGATCTATAATCGTCAAATGGGTAATAAAAGTCGAATAATCGGCTTGTTGTATAAAAAACTATGCTTTTGTAAAGTAAAATAAACGATTTTCGACTTTTTGATAAATGTATTTTGATATAATGTTAATAATTTGCCTTAGCTTCCATAGGTATAAGGCCAAAAATATGAGAGGATATCATAACAATGGGATTTCTTACATTTAACTCTATATTAATGGAGTATTAAACAGTTTTTCCCACACAAGTAATGTTATAAATAACTTACCAATGATTTTATCTCTTTTCCAGATATCCACTTACAAATACACCTTCGGCACTAAAGAACCACTATTTGAAAAGGATCCTTCAGTACCCTCTCGTTTCCAGCGTATGCGTGAAGAATTTGATCGTATCGGTATGAGACGTTCCGTCGAAGGTGTTCTTTTAGTACATGAACATGGTTTGCCACATGTTTTATTACTACAACTTGGTACCACATTCTTTAAACTACCAGGAGGTGAACTAAATGCTGGCGAAGATGAAGTTGAAGGACTTAAACGTCTACTAACTGAAGTAAGTAATGAAAATTATTTATCATTTGTAGCAAGATGAGAATGTAAACATCGATTGATTGTGTTACAATCAAGATATAATCATGGAAAAAATTGTAAAACCAAAAGAAATTAACATAAAAATCTTTTAACAACCAAATATTGTTAATTAGTTTTAAAAAAACCAAATGCTATATTATGGAGAGTTAAAGAAACGATGAGGAATTAAAATGTTTGTTTTTTTTGTATTTGCTAATTAAAAGAGAAACCATTGTATTAGTGGTGGTGTTGTTGTTGATGTTGTTTTGTAAATTAACCCCCTCTACTACTACGAGCAGATCTAATGAAAACTGAAAAATTGTATTAAATAATTACTTATTGTCGTTTATAAAAATCACATTGTTATTGTTATATTCGAATTGTAATTTATTTAGACTTTAGGCCGTCAAGATGGTGTTAAGCAAGAATGGATCGTTGAAGATACTATTGGCAATTGGTGGCGTCCCAACTTTGAACCTCCACAATATCCCTACATACCACCGCATATAACAAACCTAAGGAACACAAACGTTTGTTTTTAGTACAACTACATGAAAAGGGTAAAGTTTTTTTAAATTGTATTTTCATTTCTTCCTTTATATTATACTATTATTGTTTGTTAATGTTTAGCTTATAAGTCCAGTCAAAAAATAAATAGTTGTATTAATTTTTCTTTCTACCATTTGCCTCAGCCACTTTAATTGTAAAATTGATTTTGAAACAAAAGCATTTTCTCATACAGTTTTTTTTAATATTTTCTTAATAATGTAATACAAACAATGTAAATTTCACGTTTTGCTCATTAAAGTGACACAAGTTACTTGTTAAACATACACTTGATTATTTAAAATATGTATAGTAAAGAACAAATCCTGTTAGGGCTATTTTATTATTACAATAAAAAACAAATAAAATAACATTCAAATATCACATTACACTTAATGTTTGCTATTTTTAAACATATTAACTTTTAAACTATGTATTTAACTGATCTCTTACATACATTTAAAGTTACAATTTATAAACTCTGTGTATGTTTTCCCATATTTTCTCTTTAAAGTGTTTTTATTTAAGGAATATTGCATTTCCTATTGAAAGTTTTTTTATACTTTCCACATGGCCAATCAAATTCTTTTTGTTTTATTTTATTTTCCTAAGAAAATATGTTTAATTATTGTGAATATGCCTTAAATATTGTTCGCCAAAGGCATATGTTTTAGAAGACTTTCTTTAAATTGTTGTAATAATTCTGTTCAAGAATTTGCATTGGCTATCTAAACTATACAACTAAATATGTCTATTTGTTTTTTGTGAATTATATTTACAAATTGTATTTGTACCATTTACCATAATGTAATGTGGCTTTAAGTTGTTTGTCACATAGTATTATCATAGGAATATTTTGTAGAAAGAAATGTAATAACTTACATGGCGTACAAACGTACATAGATTTATTATAAACTAATCAAACAAAAAATATGTAAATTTTATTATTGTATTTAAAAAATGACGTTTTATTCAAGATAAACTGTGATGAAAATTTTAAATGCAATTATAGCATTTTTTTAAATATCGATGAACGGAAATAGTTGGTAGTGGAACAAGTTACAAATTTAGATTCTAACGAGGTGTCATAAATACATAAGTTAATTGGTTTTAATGTTTTGGTTATTTGCAACAAAATTCCAATTTCCAATTATTTCTGTTCATCAACTACAGATATCGTTTTAATATTTATTTACACACGTATAAAACGTCATTTCTCTATACAAAATATTGTTAAATTAAAATCAAATAAGAAAATAATGTAATACATTTTCTTTTTTAACTAAAACTTCAATAATTTTATTCTTTTAATTAAAACAAAAAGTTAAAAAACAAACTTTGTAAATATATAAATTTTGCATATTTATAGGATAATTAAAAAAAAAAATACAATGATAATAAACAAAAATTAAAAAATATATATTTGTTAAAATTAACCACCTTATATTAATTTTTATTATTTTTTGTTCAAATACAACATATTAATATTGTAGTTTTACATAATTATTAATAAGATACAAAAACTTACCTTAAACATTTCAATTGATTAAAAGAAAAGAAAACTCAATTTATACGCTTTAATAAAAAACATTTAATTTTATTTTTTTATTTCAAATATTTAGCTTTGTTTGCGGTACCGAAAAATTACAAGCTGGTAGCGGCGCCACTATTTGAACTCTATGATAATTCACAGGGATATGGACCGATAATATCTTCGTTACCACAAGCGTTATGCAGGTGAGTTTATTAAATTAATTATAAAAGATTTACTAATGAGGCGAGCTATACAATTGTATTATATGTAGTACTTTTTTGATATTGAACAGTACGGCACCCAATGAGATTTTCCGTACTTTTTCTAACAGATAAACTTATGATAAATTGTCCATAGTCTATAGTCAAGTCTATAGTCTAGTCTATAGTATAGTCTATAGTCTAGTCTATAGTCTAGTCTATAGTCTAGTCTATAGTCTAGTCTATAGTCTAGTCTATAGTCTAGTCTATAGTCTAGTCTATAGTCTAGTCTATAGTCTAGTCTATAGTTTAGTCTATAGTCTAGTCTATAGTCTAGTCTATAGTCTAGTCTATAGTCTAGTCTATAGTCTAGTCTATAGTCTAGTCTATAGTCTAATCTATAGTCTAGTCTATAGTCTAGTCTATAGTCTAGTCTATAGCCTAGTCTATAGCCTAGTCTATAGTGTAGTCTATAGCCTAGTCTATAGCCTAGTCTATAGTGTAGTCTATAGTGTAGTCTATAGTGTAGTCTATAGTCTAGTCTATAGTCTAGTCTCTAGTCTAGTCTATAGTCTATAGTCTAGTCTATAGTCTATAGTCTAGTCTATAGTCTAGTCTATAGTCTAGTCTATAGCCTAGTCTATAGTCTAGTCTAGTCTAGTCTAGTCTAGTCTTATCTAGTCTATATCTGTTCTATAGTCTAGTCTATAGTCTAGTCTATAGTCTAGTCTATAGTCTAGTCTATAGTCTAGTCTATAGTCTAGTCTATAGTCTAGTCTATAGCCTAGTCTGTAGTCTAGTCTATAGTCTAGTCTATAGTCTAGTCTAGTCTATAGTCTAGTCTAGTCTATAGTCTAGTCTATAGTCTAGTCTATAGTCTAGTCTATAGTCTAGTCTATAGTCTAGTCTATAGTCTAGTCTATAGTCTAGTCTATAGTCTAGTCTATAGTCTAGTCTATAGTCTAGTCTATAGTCTAGTCTATAGTCTAGTCTATAGTCTAGTCTATAGTCTAGTCTATGTCTAGTCTATAGTCTAGTCTATAGTCTGGTCTATAGTCTAGTCTATAGTCTAGTCTAGTCTAGTCTATAGTCTAGTCTATAGTCTAGTCTATAGTCTAGTCTATAGTTTAGTCTATAGTTTAGTCTAGTCTCTAGTCTAGTCTTTGGTCTACTCTGTCATCGCTATGTCGTTTTAACGTCTCTAAATTTGACCAAAACGGTTTTGTCAAACTTTATGATGGACTCTCTTGGTTTTAATTTCCTAAAATTCTTGCAGGTCTATCATATTTTTCGAGTATAATTTCGAATTTTCAAAATGAATTTAGAATTTTCAAAAATAGTTTCAAATTTTCAAATTAATTAACAATTTTTAAATTTGATGTTCGGTATTAATATTATATATTCCTTATTATTTTGCATTTTCGAATTTGAAACATTGTCGAAATAAATTTCATTATTTCGAGATTTTGAAATAAATTGCAACATTTCGAATTTTTGAGTAGTCCTTTAATAATAAATTTTTAATCTAAATTTTTTTGTTCTTTTAAAGGTTCAACTTTATCTATATGTGAGTAGAGTGGGAACCTTCCTCTACCGCATCAAATCATCCAGAAGAATGCTATAATGATAAATCTCTCGAACAACAATTACCACAGCCACAGCAACCGCTTACAGATGTTTATAACGATTATATGGAACATGATTTGCAACAACATGCAGCATCATTGTCAACCTTTAATCAACACCATCATTCTTATTGAACATTTCAAAATTTAATTATTATTTATAAAATATTAATTATTATTATAAAAAATAACAAAAATAATAACAAACAAAGAAAGAAAGAAAGCAAACAAATAAAACTTAACTTTATAATATTTAGATTTTAATTCAAAGAACACTTTAAAAATAATAAAATTCCCAAAATAAAGTTAAAATGCTTTACACACTGTTTTTAAAAAAGATGTTAAATTATATAATTAGAAAAAAAAAGAAGAAAGCAAAAGAAAAATAATAATAATTATACTTACTTGTGTTTATCTAAAGTAAATAAAATTAATGAAAATAAAGACTTATACAAAAAAAAAAAAAAAACAAAAACTTTTTAGTTCAATAAATTTAAATAAAATGCCGTTTTTTTCAATATCTGTTTTGTATCATTTATTTAATTGATAGTAATAAATATAAATAATACAAATTGATGACAATTATTTACTTAAATATTAATAATGTGCTGTTTGTTTGTTTTATTTATTTTAAACATTTAGAGTTTGTTAAGAAGATAAATAATTTTATACTTTTTGGTTTTTCTTTTAAATTTGATTTATATGTATATTTTTCTTTTATTTTTGGTTTTATTAGAGCATATAATCTTCAAATAGTTTTTCATATGACTGATCTCTGTAAATGGAAGAAATAGTTAGATATATTTTGGTTTTTTAAATTATTTTCTATTTGTGTGTGAGTGTGTGTATGAGTATTTGTTTAAAAATTTTACTATTTTATTAAGTTTATTTTAATATTTCTTTTTTTTTTTGCAAACAAAATTGTTCTATTGTTAGTTAAGCTTTAAAGCAAATGTTACAATGCAAATAAAACTTGTTAAGAAGTATGAAGTTTTTCTCATACGTGAGTTTTATGTTAGTATGTATCGATGTAAAGTCTATAGGTATTTGCTATTGTGATGTTTGTTTACATAAAGCTTACGAAATTTACTCCATTTTTTTTTTTCGATTTAACTATAAAAATGTTGGATTTTTAATGCACAATATACCGCCTTGTTCCAGGTTCAAAATTATAACATTGTTGCTATAAATATTTATTTATTTGCAGCAATAAATATTATAGCAAATTTGAAATATCAAGTGCTTTCTTTTAAACCATATAATGGAGTAAATTCCCTAAATATGAATATAAATGTTAATTTAGATTTCTTATATGTTATTCTATATATAAACATGTGTGTGATTTTATATAACAATGTGCGTTTTGTTTTCTGCAGAAATAAGGAACAAATTTAACCGATAAATAACAAATAAAGAAATAATAGTGAAGTGTTAAGCAAATAATGAAATAAATTCATAGACAATTGTATTGTAATGGAAAATATAATTAAGAAACTAAAAAATGAACTTTTTAGGTGTTGTTCACAATAAAGGAATTTCATGTAGGTGTGGGAGCGATGCTTTCAATAGCTAAACTTTGTTTTGTGTGGGTTATATTTCATTTTAGTTATTTAATAAATAATGTCCTTTAAGCATGCGATATGTTTTGAAGTTTTGTTTTTTGTGTGTATGTATGTGAGTGTTATTTTCTATTACATAGAAACCCAAAATGCAAAACAATTTACGAGTTGAGAAACAAAGACCCCGTTGTAAAAACAAGTAACTGAAAGAAAACGTTATGTTATACATTTCTTGCAGTATGTATTCAGACTACCATTCCGATCAAAAGTGGAATTACATATTTCCGTATTGTGCTTCTTCTAATGATGAAATACGTAAAAATTTTTCAGAAACCACTTTCAGTTTTTAAAGTGGAATTGATTTCCGTATGACTCAACTGTTTTCAGGCTGAAATTTACGCCACAAGAAACACCCGGAAACAACATCTAGCATTCCACAATGCTTTCAGTTGAAAGTAATTGAGTTGAAATTTATTCTCAATTTATTCCCAACATAGACGACACTGTCGAACTTGGGTTCCAGGAAACAATGGCATTCGGGGAAATGAAATTGCCAAGGAATGTGCAAACGAACTTGTTTTTTTAAAAAAGATAATCATATTCACCACTTTCAAAATATCTATTATCTACCATTGTCTTTCACGGAAAGGATGTTTGATTTGGGATATCCAAGTAATATTTATGTAACTGCCTCTCTCTAAAAGAGCGTAGAATGCAATTGTCCCAAAGGTCAATTGTGATTCCCTTTAATAAAGAACAAGGAAATATAAATAGAAGAAAAAGAGAGAGATGAGAAGAGTGAGAATTCCTTTTACAATTGCGCAGGTTACAATTGGCCGGTGATTACCCGGTCCTAAAGTCCTTTTACTCTTCCTATCCAGTTCTAATAGTACCCTGG